ACGGCGGCGCCCGGTAATGGTCGGTAGCTGGAGCTTCGCCTCGGTGAGAGGATTCCAGTGGTACCCCCGGATTTTCCATAGCCCTCCCGGATCATCGGGAAAATGCATTTGAATGCTCAATTTTGACCGATTTTTCCCTAGATCTGGAACCTTTGACCACGAAATTCACGGCTTTCCCAGATGAATTTTTGCACGAAATTTTAAGGGTGGATTCACCTCGAGGAGATCTATCCGATGATGTAAACGATTTTCCGATCAGAGCACGTTTTTCGGCGGCCGGCGGCGGAGGTGGCGGCCGGCGGTGGCGGCAGCCGGTGGAGAAGAAGGAGGTTTTTTAATTTTTTCAGTCGGAACTCCGCTTGACTTTTTGACAGGTCCCACAGACGGCGCCAATGAAGTGAATAAATTTCACCCGGCTCCTTCAACTTGAACGGCCTCCGTACCTGCAGAACCCAACACCGGGGGTGGCCCCGGCGTCGGGCCTCCGATGCCTAAGTCAGTCCTCATATCAAGAGAGAGAGTGTGTAGTAATCAATGAATAGAGAGTGAGAGAATGAGGTACCTTGGCCCCCTTTTATAGGGGGAGTGTACCTTTTAGGCCCAAGTTGGGCTTGACCCATATCGTTGGGCTTAGATGTCTTAGTGGGCTTATCCTCCAATATGTATCCGCTTAATTCATAAACCGGGTCCAGTATAATATTCTATATCAGGTATACTTGTACCAAATCTTGATAATAGACAGCATCTTCAAATTCTGGGGTAGCCTCAAACTGTCTTATACCTCGTCTTTGATTATCAGGACAATCAGTTGATATATGCCCTTTTGCTCCGCAGGTCCAATAGTTACAATTTTTAAAGCTTTCATTGGCTCGAGTATAAGTTCTTCTGAAAGTCCTTCGAGTCGGAGCTCTACCCGTTTGATTAGAACCGGAAGATAAAGCTCTGCTTCGACTCGGTGTTGGTCGTTGCCCAGATTTGAAATTTCGAGCCTTTTGTTTAGACCAATATTTCCTAGGTCTCCATGAGGACCTATTTCTTTTAAATCCACGGGAATAAGCATTATTGGTATGCCTTCTTCTTTTTATTTCTCCGTGGCTGACCTCCAATAATTGTTGGAATGTCATTTTCTTCACAACACAGAGGAACTGTTTTGTTGATCCCTCTAAGTCTTTTATAATTTTTGTGTAGTGCTGTTTGATGACACCACTCGGACAGTTTTGCCTTAAGGAATGACATCCTTCTGCCCACTGTATCTACTTCGTCCATTTTATATTTTTTGACTAACATTTCTCTCCATGGACTGGGTATCTTTGCAAAGAATAATTGTGAAGCTTCGGAGTCCACCACCTTGGACTTCCATCGATACTCCATAAATAACTTTATGTATTCATCTACATGACCAATGTCATGTAACTCTAAGCAATATAGGGCTTGCTTGTATCTCCATTGTTTTTCTTCCTCTACTATTTCAAAGTATCCCGTGTCGATAAATAATATTTTGAGTACTTTAGCATATTTATCGACTATTCCTCTTAATGATTCTCCAGGACGTTGCTTACATTTTTCGTACTTGCCCCTATTTATCCTTATTTTTCTCGACTTTCTTAAACGTGTACCATTTTGCTTCAAAACACGATGGGGCGATAAATATATATTATCCACATCAAATAATGGTGTCGTGTTCGAAAACAAGTCTTTCTGGAGACGTTGCTTACATTTTCGTACTTGCCCCTATTTACCCTTATTTTTCTCGATTTTTTAAACGTGTACCTTTTTGCTTCAAAACACGATGGGGTGATAAATATATGTTATCCACATCAAATAATGGTGCCGTGTTCGAAAACAAGTCTTTCCGGAGACATTGCTTACATTTTTCGTACTTGCCCCTATTTACCCTTATTTTTCTCGACTTTCTTAAACGTGTTGCATTTTGCTTCAAAACACGATGGGGCGATAACTATAAGTTATCCACATCAAATAATGGTGTCGTGTCCGAATACAAGTCTTTCCAGAGACATTTGTTTACATTTTTCGTACTTGCCCCTATTTACCCTTATTTTCCTCGACTTTCTTAAACGTGTAGCATTTTGTTCAAAACACGATGGGGCGATAACTATAAGTTATCCACATCAAATAATGGTAACATCTCCTTTTACTTCTGGAGAAGCCATATCCCAAGCAATTTTAACTGAACCTTCCAAGCTCATTGAACCCTTCTTTGTTGAGATCCAATGCTCCTCCGGCAATTCTCATAGCAGAGGCCCAATCATCGATGAGGATCTCTCAATTTTTGAAATCTAAATTATCTATATTCAACATTAACCCATAAGGGTTAATCAGATCTAGTTGTGATTTTCCGTAAGGAGTATTTTGAAAGTTTGGCCTTCGGGAGCGCATTCGGGTACCCGCCAGATGCCCAGTTTCTCCCCTGGTATTAAAATCCCCTTGATAGGGTATCTGCTCCTCAGGTTGGTGAGAACTTGAACTTTCTCCTCCTTGGGAAGGTTGAGTTCTAGTTATAATCGTTGAACCATCTCACGTATTCATTTTTAAGTCTACTAGACCCAATCCTGTAAAGGATTCTGCAAGGTCATGTAGATCTTCTAAATTAACTCTTTCCATTATTTATTAATGGATTTTCCTTTTAAGATGGCCCTCATCTTTTCGTCTTCCATCATTGGTCTTCGAACTTCGGTTGGTTTATCCTTTTGGTGCAAGAGAGGCACTTTTCCAAAAGTTACTTTTCTTCGTCCTCTGGAAGTACTGGGTTTATCTTTAAAGGTTTTAATTTGTTTCTGGATACTTATAAGAATATCCAGAGTCTCCTTTTGGTTCCTCATTATTTCTTCCATCTTTGTTTGTATTTGGTGGATTTTTTTCAGGAACCATCTGTTGGAGTTCTCCATAACTTTGCACGATACTTTGTATTTCACGGATATCTGTGGAGTACTTAGAAGAATCTGGAATAACTTCTTTCCAGCCCAATAAAATTTTATATTTAATGTATGTAAAAATATAAATACAAGATTTTATTTTAAAATTTTAAATAATTCTTACAAAATAACATAATTATTTTTATTTAAAATGATACACCCCAAGTCGGATTTGACGATATTATATTAGAACATTTTTAGTACTTATACCATATAATAATCTTGATAGATAAATTTATTGTTTTTCAATTATAATTGATAAATATTTAAATTTTTATTGATAGAGATCAGTTAGATATTATTATTTTAAATTACATATACAATATGAATGTCAAATTTTACATTGTCAAAATTTATTAAGTTATCATATATATAAAAAAAAAATAATAATATATATAAATGTTATTAAATTTTAAAATATATTTACAATTTATGTTACCCAAACGTTTAAACTTGAAAGTTCTGGATAACGATCCATATTTATATGGACTATTTCGAATCCTTTGAAATTAACATATAGAATTACAAAGCGTTAGAAATTGACAATGAAAAGCTCTACATTTATATATAAAAAGATAATCCATAAGGAAATCTTTATAAAATAACATTAACAAAAATAATGACATTTATGCTTTTTTAAGTTAATAAATTATATTTAAAATGACTTGTTTATTTCCTATTACACAAAAAATGAAGAAAAAATGATTGTAAAATATTTTTGGTATATTTCTTAATATTAATAAAAATGCAAAATAAAATAACCAAAAAAAAAAAAAAAATAACTAGACCTCATTCTCAATTTTATTTTTTAGCATCAAGTCAAAAGCAAATTGAATAGGGAACCTCTCAACACCCAATAGTTCAAATAATTTATTTAATTGTTAATATAAGTATTTTGTGCAATATGATTAAAAATTTCTTTGAACTATTTTTTGCCTGGCTCATAAAAATGTCCCCTTGAGCACCCCATCAAATATTTAGAGATGGGGAATATATTTATTCGATATTTTTTTTTTGTACTTATATTTATTCGATAATTGATCCAGGTAAGTTCCAAAGTAAAAAAATAAAATAAAAATAAAAAAATAAAAATAAAAATAAATAAATAAATAAATAAATTGAAGCTTCAAATCTGAATCCAAAACAAACAAAAGAAGAGTTTCCCACTTTTTATCATAATGCCAACATTAACAAAAGGTAAAAGAACCGAAAGTTTTCATAGCATAAATTCCCCAATAATAGATACTCGACCACATGTATGACACAGTATAATCATTGAGATACCAGTCGTCGAGTAGGCTTGACTGCATCTATCCACTCCAAACTACTCTTATGTACCACAAAACTGTATCGGAAAACATAGGAAGGTAACCCGATTTCATCGATTTCTTGCGTAACAAGATTGTACACAAAAACCGCATTCGTGTTACCGCTAACTCTCATGGCCAACAACTCTGGGTACTTGACCCACCCTACGGGGAGAAAAAAATCTTTGGGTACGACACCTGATATCTCAAATCTTTCCTTGTGAACCTCCAAGCAAAAATGGGCCTTCTTTCTCCATTCCCCTGTTTCTGGTCGACTCATCTCCCAAACCTCCCACGAGCACTCCCTGCCGTAATGACTCAATAACGTCAGATATTTTCCGGTCGATAAGTAAATATTGGTTTGACGCCCACGAGCAGGAAAGTCTTGTAACGGCGGGAGAGGAGCGGGAGTCTCTGTAAAAGTTTCGGTCTCCACATTAAGTGTCAAGACATGATGGGTATGGGGATGGTTCCAATGAATGAAACCTTCAGTAATCAACGGAGGTTTGAAGAATGCAGTTATTGCCTTCTCGGATGATATGAGTCCCAAATCAAGATTCCTCCATTTTTTATCAACTCCAACAGTTAATATATGACAAGTAGGGCGGGGACAGAGACGGGTTCCTCTAGGAGGATAGTATATAACCGCTTTATACTCCATGGAAGCCGGTGCATACCCCATTGCATATCTTTCTTTTGAAACTTTACGAACACATGGAGGGAGACAAACAATTTGGCCCGTCGTGGGATTTGTGACAAAAAGTTTACGTCCCCTTTCTTTCATATTAGTCTCTAACCACAATCCATTACAACTACTAGTGACCTCACACCTAGGTTTGTAACTCAACTGGGTCATCTCGACCCCGACCCCGACCCCTCCCCTTTGAGGGAGGATACACACGGATTTGAATAGGAGACCATAAGGGGAGTGGTGTAAGTAGGCGGACATGAAATTACGGGTGTGGATGATATTGTACCATTTGCGGCAAACAAGCCTTGCCTCGTAAATATCGTGTTGGCGGCCTGGGGGGATTCGAGCAAGGACTTCAATCAACAGCTCATGAGGTAAAGATTCTATGTCTGTTGTTACCCTCTTTCTTTTACACCTCCTCCGGTAGTAAATCTGCTGCATATTATTCATCCAATGTTTCATCAAAAAACAAAAAGGGGATAACTTATAACCTAGAAATTCAATATCGAAATACTGCAAATTAATAGAATGTATAGAGATTCTACATTCATTATGTAACCCTAACTTAACCTAACCTGGTGAACGGGTGGAGCCAAGAATTTGAAGGGTTCAACCTCTGTATTCGATTCTTCTTTACCTGGCCGTCGAGGAGGCGGTGGCTGCCGCACCATTGATGGTGGGATATCAATCATGGGTAGAGGTTCCCTCGCCGGAGGAAGAAGCACCCAAGGATATGTCGAATTTACAGTCTTCTGTTAACGAAATGAATATATGGAGCAGGAAAAGTTCATACCACCAACCCGTAGTTACTAACACAAATTAAATGAGTTATTTTTACAATTCTATATCATTTTTTTTATTTTTATTTATATTTTTTAAATGAAATGCATGTTGTGTGGCACTCATGAAGATCGTGTATCGGGACTCGATTTTGTGTACGAACCCGCGATAACGGCCTTAGTTCAAAATACGATAAAATGTGTAAATCCACACTAACAAACTAGAAACTAACATATAATTAAAATCTATATATATTGAAAAAAGATGGTAAAAAAAAATTATTTGTGAACACTTTTAAAATATTGGTCAACAACACCATTGACTTTCCACTTTTGAAAACCATTTACAAAGAAAAAAATACACCCTACCTACCTAACTATTCGGAAATTTATGCTTTGCCTACAATTTTTTTTTTTTTTACACTTTGCCTACCTAACTTTGATGTTTTGTAGACTTTGTCATTTTCGGTCACTGCCGGCGACACGTGGCAATAAGGCACAAAAGCCACGTATTGGTATATGAGGTCGGCGGTGACCGGAAATGAATAGACAAAGTGTAGAAAATAAAATTTTGTAGGCAAAGTGTAAGTTTCCGGATAGTTATGTAGTGAAGTGTAATTTTTCCATTTACAAATTACGAAAATGATTTTCTTTTTTTTTTTCTTTTGATTTCCTTTTTGTTTTAAATCATTCCAAAAACCTTCCATTTATTCTGATTTTGTTTCACGACAAAGTTTTTTTTTTTTTTGTTAATATAGCAAAATCATTCCATAACTTTCAGATAAAGAATACACACAGTTTAGGAAACATGAATTTTCAAAATGTCAGACCAGATCTCATTACTTGTCGACCGGATCTCATTACTTCCATCCTCACGCACTGCACACATAATGATTACACTCAAAATTCTCCGTTATTTTGTTGTATTACTCCCATTCCCTTTTCAAGACTGCCAAAATAGGGGGTGTTGGCAACCAGATATTAGAGAGGCTCGGCGTCGATTCCCGTAGATGGAGAAGAGCGGCAAGGTCAACTGAGCGTTGGGGATTGGACAGATGACTCGCGGCGATAAAGCCCACGGCTTTGGGTTAATGGCGATGGAGACTGGAAGGTGATGAGCGGTGACCATATATCGGAGGAGTCCAACTGCAAATTTGAATGTGACTAGTGATGGTAAAAATCAACTGATGTAAATCGAGGGTGGCAATTTGCGACACGACTACGACCAGACGGTATCTCAGGTTTATGGCGGATTACGGCGACACGACTCAGAAAACTCATAGGCGATTCCGTTTATGTATCGTTTATATTTCGTTTATGTATAGTATATAGATACATTTTTTTATATATTTATTTTAATATTGTAACTTTTATATTCTGTTTATGTTCCGTTTATGTACCTTTTATATTCTGTTTCTGCATTCAAATTTCAGACATCTCTTTTTTTGAATCTTTGACTCAAATTACTAAGCGCAGCCAAAAAAAGTGAAGAACAAAACACTATAATTATAGATAGAATGTTTATATATCCAATACATAATCTTTATAGGTTGCTAAAAAATCGTTCAGAACATATTTTGAATTTCACCATCTTCCAAAAAAAGGAGACACAACTAACTTCCATGATCAAAGAAAAAACCGGGGATACTAAACAAAAAGGTGGTTTTATTAGTGTTTCGTAATTTTTGATTATACATATTATTTGAGTTTATTTGTGGTATTTCATTACTTTTTTTTAAAAAAAATTGTTTAATCATGACATTAGTAACAAATTATATACTAACATAAGTATACTATATACCATTATAGTGATTTATCGTGTTATTAAAAAAAATAACGCATTATATACTCAGGGTGTGATTGGTTGGGGTGATTGATTGGGCTTTGATGTAATCAAACAATTTGGGGCCCATGTAATATTTTATATTGTTTAACTTGTTTGGTTTATGTTTTAGATTGTTTGATATGGGCCTCATAATGTTATTAACCTATTTGGTTGACAAAATATGGTCCATTTCAATGCTTTATTGCTCCGAAAAG